GACGCCACCGTTGGTAACCTCTCAGGCTAAAAAAAACACGGTGGACACAAAAAGTACTCGCCGACCCTAATGTCTTTCAGAAAGCACATCCTAGCAAAATTAAAGAACATGCCAGGAAACTTGAGGCACAACATGCAAATGCTTTGCTTATTCACCTCACTTTTTGCGTGTGCGTCTTATGCAGATAGAGAAGAAGATAGTTGTGGATACGAAGATCACTCTCGAAGCTTTACTCGCCCTCACCGCCAACCTTGAGGAGACTATCTGCCATCTTCAACTCTGAACTTTGGCATTTGAAGCGCAAACAAGGGTTTAAGCGGCTTAAGCTCATGACACTACATCAACGGAACCCTAGCGCCCAATGAAATCCCTCCAGATTGATGAAGACCGCAGGAGGACACTCCTCACGGGAGCGTTGGAGAGCAGCACAGACGACCATCTACTCCTCGGGACTGCAAGGGATGAGAACCCAGTCCTCGGATCCAGATATCTAGGAGCCGGATCCAGTGCCCTCCATGAAGGACTAGGCCGGAACTCGCCGGAGAGGAGCTTGGATACTGTGGGAAGTGAGTGATGTGGAGTGGAGTGCAGCTAAGGTTTCGCCCGGAGTGCGGATAGAGTTGAATATATGTTGGATCGGATGGGCCACAGTGGACCAAATCCGACATGGCGGGTGCGTCCAGGCATCCCTATATGGGATGGATATGGGAGTTGCCGGTCAGTCCGTGTGTCTGGGCTGGATTTGCCATGTCCGGTTGGGTGAGAATTCTGTGTCCGGTCAGTTACCGGGCAGCCCGTTTGGGGCGGATACGGTGTCCGGTTATAGATGCTCTATACACAAAACTAAGAGTAAAAAGAAAAACTAGCAGTACACACATCACAATCAGATAGCTTGATTCCAAAGCTTTTTTATTCATTGGCATGGTCGCAACCCCACGCAGACATCCATTATTTCCATTCTCAGAGAACACTCATACAACAACACAATGGTTTCTTCTCTCGCACCTCGCTTCAGATATGTTACCATGCAGCGCCGAGGGTTGGGTTACTACTTGTACTGGCTGGCGAGCTCGCCTTCCTTGACGATGTAGTTCTCCGCGGGGAAGTCCTCGCCCTTGAAGTACCTATCCAACATGTCCTTCACTCCAGCCGCGTACCTCAGCTGCAGCAATTGCCATCCACATCAGAAACACGGCAGGACAGTCAGTAGCAAAGCACGGTAATGGATAAACAGGCATAAACTGATCTAGGCTGCGTATGTGTGATGGTTAAGGTTGGCCTACTGTCTTAGTTGTATGTATTTGCTCTTGATGTAGATTATTCGTTGATTCTCCACTTATGAAGGAAAGGAAAACATAAGTTACCATATGCAGAATCCATTCGGAATAACTGACTACTGACTAGAATTCGTCCATAGCTTTGCTAATGCATACGGTCCGGTATCAGAACACCAAGTGCTGTAAATGACGATACGCCATAAGCCCAATGCTGAGATAAAAGCACAGAAGCTAACCTGTGCATCAATTGTAGTCCCAGAGATGTGAGGGGTCATTGCATGATTAGGCATGTAGCGCCATGGGTGATCCTTGGGTGCGGGTTGGGGGAACCAGACATCACCTCCATATCCTGAAAATCAGGAATGATGTACTTTGAGAAAAAGGAAATAATCCCCAAGATAGAAATATAAGGTACTGCATCATTCTCCTAATCTTGGACACAATTCAATAGGACACAATAATAACAGCCATCAAAGAAACAAGTGCCATGGCAAGAAACAGGATTGAACAGAATTTACAGAGGCATAGATCAACCTTTGTTTTTGTCAACACTAAGAGATACTCGTAGTTACCTACAAACTGGCATTATTGAGTACTTGACATTACTGCATTATGTTATATTGATTTCGAAATTTTATCATATTACCCCAGATAAATGCAAAGCATGAAAGACTAAATAAAATGATGTATTTCATAGACCCCAACAGCAAGAGTTAGATACACATCCTGCAGCATACTGGTGCTTAAAATAAGACTGATTAAGTGAAAGAATTGTACCAGCAATGTGACCGCTGGAGCAAGCATCAGCAACTGCCTGGGTATCCATGATTGCTCCCCGAGCGTTATTCACAATGATTACACCTTTCTTCATCTTTGCAATCTTTTCTTTGTTGAACATGCCTCTGAAGAAAGGACCAAACAGAATTTAGAGAACTGTAAATTAGAAGATAATGGAAAAGAACCGAGTGTGATGAATAGAAACCTAGTTTTCTCAGTAAGAGGTGTGTTTATCACAATGACATCACACTTTGGAAGCATAGCATCCAGGTCCTCTTCAAATTTCGCCCCAATTTCTTTCTCAAGCTCTGGGTTAATCTGAAGTCTGTCATGGTAGAGCAGGTTGCAGTTGAAGGGCTTAAGGCGCTGAAGTAAGAGCCTGCCAATACGACCTGCCCCGACAGTTCCGACGGTCTTCCCCTCAAGATCATAAGCCCTATGGGCAATGCCTGCAACATTCCATTCACCTTTAACGACCTGTTGGTAGCCAGGCAAGAAGTTCCTGAGCAGAATCAAGATGCGCATGAGCTCATCTTCTGCCACAGAGACAGTGTTACTTCCAGTGACCTCTGCCACTGTCAAGCCTGCAGCAGCAGCAGCTGGCAAATCAATATGGTCCGATCCAATCCCAGCAGTGAGAAGCAGCTCAAGGTTCTTTGCCTTCTTGATCCTCTCTGCAGTAACATAGGCTGGGTGGAATGGGGTGGTTATCAGAACATGCATGTCTTCAATGTGCTTCTCCAGCTCTGGGGACAAGAACAGCAATCATTTATTCACAAGTTAAGAGTCAGATAACAATAATCAGAGATATAAAACCATCTAATAATATATGTATCATAGTAATTTCATCTTATACAGGGTTCAAACATACAAGCACTTATACAGGGTTCAAACATACAAGCTAGATTGGAATGTATATAAGCATTTGAACTGATCCTGCAGCACAGCTCACATGATTTGGATACTTCCAGTTAGTTTGGGAAATTGTGATAAACTAGAAGAAAACCATCAATTGTCTGTCAATCGATTCATCAGAACACGGCTGCTTATTCCAAAAATAAATAAATAAAAACATGCTGCGTAGCTAAATAAGGAGCAAATCTCCCCTTTCACACGGAACAGATGAAAATTACTCTTCGCTACCATCAGCTAAAAAGCAGAGCAGTCGGATTACTCATAGCATTATAGACTACACAGTAACCCAGATAATTCAGAATTGATATATATCTGTTCAGTAAAACACTACTACATATCTGTTCAGTAAAGAGTTCTATACAGGTTCTGCCAAGTGCTGCCAAGTTCACTTCGTTTAGCGTTTTGAGATTTGTATCTGATGTATAGTACAATATATTCACGAACAGAGAAGCACATGAATTGCATTACAGAATCGTTAACAACTAATAATAAATTATAGGAAATTAAAAAACATGATAAGAATTGGGATGGTGTTGGGTACCGACCGCTGTTCAACCCCTCCTTGTCGTCGGTGACAATGTAGTGATGCCCCTTGGACTCGAGCCAGTCGCGTATGCCGAGGGCGCCCTCAACGCAGCCGACGAAGTTGGGGTTCTTGTCGGCGTACTCGCCGGCCTGGTAGAACACGCCCACGATCTTCTTGCTGCCCGCGGACGTCTGCGCCACGGGAAGACAGAAATCAAAACACGGCATTCCTCAGAGTCCCGTCAGCCAACCGCAGCACTTCTTCAGCAACCGAAACTTGCAGGAATCAAACCGAGCGAAAAAACTTACATGCGCGGCCCTGGATCCGACGGCCCGGTCGACGAGCTGCTTCGCGGCGGCCCTACACATCGCGGCCATGGGGACGGAGAGATCCCGGCGGAGGGAGGAGCAATCTGCCAGTCACCTCACGGGGAACGGCGAGTGAGGAAAAGAGGGGAGTGATGGCACACACAGTGAGGGCCGGACGGGACGGGTAGATAAAGCCGCCGCGCCGTCACGCTGACAGGTGGACCGCATCCTCGCCCACGTGGACGGGGTGCCTGCGCCGCGCGGCGGAGGTGGTCCCGGACGGAAGCGTGAGGGCATGCATGACCTGTGGGCCCGCCTTCCGGTGATGCCCCACGTCTCTGTGTGTCGCGTGCGCAGTGGTTTGTTTTGGCTTTTGTTCTGGTAGGAGTAGGATAGGAAAAGGACTTGGCCGATGGTGCCAGTAGTTGTCCACTGGAAAAGTGGGCGAGAAGATGCCGTGATGTGTGCCGTGGCTAGCTAGCGGCCGCTGGGGGGAGGAGAAGGGTGGCGAAGGATCAACGAACCGGACCACTGCTGGCGCTAGGAACGCACATTTCTTGCCGCCTCGAGGATTGTTTGTGTGAGTCATGCGTGCATGATCTTCAAGCGGGGGAGCGGTGGTTGGGAGCACAAACTCCTTTGTCAACTCATTAGCTTTGGTTTTCATCCCTTCATAGTTCCATGGCCGATAGATGATGTAGATGTATAAATAACCGAAATATGCATCATTTGGACTAAAAACGTCTCTCCAATGAATGAAACGAATGATGAAGATGTGTATTATGTAAAATGCATAACTAAGTGATGCAAAAAAACATCAGCTGACCACCCTAGATGTAAAACTGACAGCCACCCTCAAATGCCCAACCGTCGGTTCCTCCTCCCCCCCCACCCCCATCCCCGCGCGACCACCTCCTTGCGTCCCTCCGCAACTAGTTGAGCGCTTCTTACTGCATCTTCTTCGTGATATTAAATGCATAAGGTTTCCTCCCATTTACTATTTCATCTTGCCTAGAGGTCAGTAGCCCGCCTGGATTTCAATTCAGGATCAGTTGAACCACAATTAAAAGAAGCAGCACCCGCTTAGGCGCGCAGAGCACCTAGCTCGCCCGTTCGCCGGGGAAGCGGCGCATCGGTGTGTATCATAGGGATGTGGGGCGCAGGAGCTACTTGCGCCCGATCTGGAGGTCAGCGGGGTTTGAAGGGATGGCCGGGTGCGGTGCCAAGCACGGCGGTGCGGTGAGGTCGAGGGGAGGACGGAGGCATGGGACTGGGCCGGTGGTCGCTGGCGTTTCAAGGAAGATTGTAACACTGACTGGCTGGAGGTAGATGAAGGTGATCTGCCCGTTCTTTGTACATCGGACAACGCAGAAAAAAATAGATTAACCTATTTATTTCCAGTCGACTGTTATTTTGATAGGACCACACCTTGTGGTGTGCTGAAGGAGCATCTGCATTTCCCAGTCATTACTGTGCTCATATTTCAAAAATCCTAGAATCTAGTAATTTCGTGTGCCATGCATGTTGTAGAGCTATCATATGTCTCCCGTCATTTATTTCTCACTGACCTGCTATCTGCTACTTTTACACTGTACTACTTGTGCACACACTTCATCCGTACTCGCGCTATTGTTTCTTTATGCATGGGTATTTCAGACTCTGACGCAGTGTTGATGAATACACAAAAGAAAAGACAGAAGTCGCTCTAGTGTCATTCGAAGATAAGCACTAAGCGTTTCAGCGCTCTAAAGGGTGTAGTGTCAGCAGATGGAGACAGTAAATGTAGCTCTGTAGTTGATGATCTCAATTGCCACACACAACCAGCCCAGGTGCTTGCTTTAACTTTGTGCTGTCAAATGTGGTTGCATGTTGCATATGGTGTCTAGCTTGTATTGTTTCCAATTTGGTTAAATTGCATCTGCTTACTTTACACATTATACCTTTGATAATGACATGTCTTCCCGTTTTTGATACATACTACATATGTTTATTAATCATGTTTGTACATCAAACTAATACTTTTTTGTATCCCTCATCAATCACTTATGATGAGACAGTCACCCCAATGGGTTACTGTGAGACGCACTACTCGTTTAAAGAGTGCAGTGTCATCCTCCTCACATGATTCTCAAGAAATAGTAAGGCTAAATAAAGATAGTCAACGTAACTCTCTAGTTGATGACCGCAATTCACCTACACCACCATCGCAGGTGCTTGCTCTTACTTGACAGTGTGATATGTGGTTGCATGTTGCGTATGGTGTCTACCTTGTAATACTTCTAATTAGGGTAAATTGCTTCTGCTTAATTAACACATTATACCTGTGAATATGACCGCCTTTCTGTTTTTGGTACATACTACGTCTTTCTATTAACCATGTTCTTATATCAAACTACTTTTCGTGTGTATCCCTCATCAATCACTTCTGACGAGACACCTTCAAGTTGACAGTGTAATATTGGTTGCATCTTGCATATCATTTCAAACATGTATTGCCTCTAATTTGTTGAAGTGCCACTTATAATGAGACACATCTAACTTGGTAGAGTGATTTTGGTTGGATCTTTCATATGGTGTCTAGATTGCATTGCTTCCAATTTGTTGAAATGCCTTTTGCTTAGCATTTTTCATACATATTCCATCATCCTACAATGTGGTTGCCATACATAGAAATTGTGTTCGTCGGTATTATGCATCAACGAATCTGGAAGTGCGAATTTCATTCATTTTTCTTGTGTGTTTACTTGACAAGGCAAAATTTAAAAGGACAGAGGCACGGAATGATGGTGCTCCTCTAGAGCAACCGAAACAAATGATCTCTGCAGATTCTCTTGCTACTCCTACTGCAGTGCAAGTTCCAAATCTCATCTCCCATACTCCACAACCCCAGGTGCTTGCTCTATCATGGCAGTGTGATATCTGGTTGCATGTTGCATATGGTGCCTAGCTTGTATTGCTCCTAATTTGTTAAATTACATCTCCTTAGCTTACACATTATACATGTGAATATGACACGCCTTCCTGTTTTTGGTACATACTACATCTGCCTATCACACCATGTTCTTACATCAAACTATTGTTCTTGTGTATTCTGCATCTATCGCTTATGATGAAACAGTCACGCCCGTGGGTTAGTATGAGACGCGCTACTCTTATAAAGAGTGTAATTTCATCCTCCTCACATGATTCTCAAGAAACAACAAGCCTAAATGAAGATATTGAACATAGCTCTGTACTTGAAGACCGCACTTCCCTACACCACCATCACAGGTGCTTACTCTAACTTCGCAGTGTGATATGTGGTTGCATGTTGCATAGGGTGTCTAGTTTATAATGCTTCTAATTAGGGTAAATTGCATCTGCTTAGTTTACACATTATACCTGTGAATATGACATGCCTTCCTATTTTTGGTACACAGTACATCTATCTGTTAACCGTGTTCTTACATGAAACTACCTCTCTTTTGTATCCTGCATCAATCACTTATGATGAGACACCTTTATTCGTTGCATATTGCATAATATTTCTAGCCTGTTGCCATGTATTGCTTCTAATTTGGTCAAATACATTTGTTAGGCCACCCTTTTAATTTGGCAGAGTGATATTGGTTTCATCTTTTATATGGTTTCTAGCTTGCATTGCTTCTAACTAGTTCAAACACCTTGTGCTTAGTTTACACTTTATACATCATACATGTCAATATGTCATGCCGTCCTGTTTTTCATACATATTCCATCCTCCTATCCCGGTTGCCTTACATGAAATTAGTGTTCATCAGTATCATGCATCAATGAGTTCTGAAGAGCAAATTTTATTCCTTTTTCTTGTGGGTTTGACTTGACAAGGCAAAATCAGAAAAGAGGAAGGAAAAGAGTAAGGAAGGCGATGATGGTGGTCTTCTACAGCAACATAAACGGAGCATCTGTATGGATTCTCCTTGTACTGCTAGTGCATTAAAAGTTTCAAGTCTCTGCTCGCCTACTCCACCATCCAAGGTGCTTGCTCTAACTTGGCAATGTGATATCTGGTTACATGTTGCATATGATGTCTAGCTTGTATTGCTCCTAATTAGTGTAAACTGCATCTGCTTAGCTTACACATGATACGTGTGAATATGACACGCTTTCCAGTTTTTGGTACATACTATATCTGTCTATCACACCATGTTCTTACATGAAACTACTCTTCTTGTGTATCATGCATCGGTCACTTATGATGGGACACCTTTAAGTTGGCAGTGTGATATTGGTTTGCGTCTTGAATATGATTTCTAGCATGTAGTGATTCTAGTTTGATGAACGCCACCTATGACGAGACAGTTTTAACTTGGCAGAGTGATATTGATTGCACCTTCCATATGGTGTCTAGCTTGTAGTGCTTCTAATTTGTTGAAGTGCCTTCTGCTTAGTTACCACATCATAGGTGTGAATATGTCAAGCCGTCCAGTTTTTCATACATATTTCATCCTCGTATCATGATTTTGCCTTTCATCAGAGTAGTGTTCAACAGTATCATGCATGAATGAGTTCCGAAGAGCGAATTTTATTCCTTTTTCTTGTTGGTTTGACCTCACAATGCAAAATCAATAAAGCGGAAGAAAATTGGTAAGGCATTGGATGATGGTGGTCCTTCCGAGCAACTGAAACAGAGGGTCTCTACAGATTCTACTCCGCCATCCTCCCAACAAGATTCGCAAGACAACGCAAGGCTAGACAGTCAACGTAGTTGTGTAGATGATGAGCACATCTCCCCTACTCCAGCATCACATGTGCTTGCTCTAACTTGGCACTATTATATGTGGTTGCATGTTGCGTATGATGTCTAGATTGTATTGCTTCTAACTTTGTTGAATTACATCTGCTTACTTTACACATAATGCCTGTGAATATGACACGTGTTCCTGTTTCTAGAACATACTATATCTGATCACACCATGTTCTTACATCAGACTACTGTTCTTGCATATCACGCATCAGTCACTTATGATAAGGCACCTTTAAATCGCCACTATGATATTGGTTGTGTCTTGCATATGATTTCTAGCATGTACTGCTTCTAATTTGTTGAA